ACCAAGGGCTGCCGGGGAGCCCGCACAGGTTCGCGTTTGTGTCACGGGGAGCCGGGGCCAAGGGGGGTGCGGACCTCCACGCCCACAGGTCCCACGCAAGGAGAAGCGTGGAATCTGGTGGCGAGTGTTTGGGGCCTCGGCCGCCCCATGGAAACCCCTGAGCCAGCAGGGCATTTGGAAGCCCAGGCCACGGCAGCGTGGTCTAGACCAGGGGCCTCGCACGGGGCCTGTCAGGGTAGCCCAGATGGACACAACTCGGATTTGTCGGTAGGGCATTGAATAAATGTGATATCCCGCCACCCACCCCTAGTTCCCCATTTGCCATTGGGTGATTGGAGCCTACTGGCTGGGGGAGGCACCAAGAGGTGGTCAGTGAGCCTCATAGCGACTGGTTGAGCGGTCGTTCTGGTTATTCTGTCAATTTGCATATTACTCTTTATATATATGGAGGAATATTACAATTAGAAGGCATGAAGTACTGAAATGCAGCATGGAAGAATCTGAAAAAGCATTATGCTGAGTGAAAGAAGCCAGTTTCAATAGATAACGTTCCCTATGATTTCAAATAAGTTCTAGAATCTTCCAGGATGTTGGAGATGCTGTGTGTCTTGATAACAAGGTGGACTACATGAGCATGTATATTTCTCAAAACTCTGGACAGTGACAGCTAAGGCCTGTAAACTTCATTTTAAAGGCAATTTCAGATAAGATAGATTTAAAGGTGTTTGTAAAACAAAGTTTTTAAAAATTAAAAGCCAATGACCATTTATTTTAAAAAGAAACTTGATTGCAACCACATGGGGTCGTGGGGTTCTGCCTGGCCCCACGCGACTGTGGCTGAAGGCTCTGCTGAGCCGGCTCTGCCTGTTAGACAGGCAGACTGGCCAATGTCCGGGGTGTTAAAGACGGGGCCCCCCGAGACGACGTGCTCCTGGGCTTTGAGGCGACTGGGAAGGAGGTGGGTGGGGAGTGACAGCCTCACGGTGTGTGTCAGGGCCACTGAGGCCGACAGTTCCCCGTGGACCGGTGCCGCCGGCTCTCACCGGGCTCTGGGCCTCAGTGGCTTTCTCTCCTCCCGCGCCCCCCCCCCCACCTAGGACATCGCCAAGGACGTCCCCAGGGGCGAGGAGTCTCTGAGGCGGCTGGAGGCGCAGGCGGTGGGGGTCATCCGGAACACCTCTCCTCTGGGCACCGAGAAGATCACCCGGGAACTGGAGGAGATGCGGAGAGTCCTGGAGAAGCTCCGTGGCCTCCGTGAGGAGGAGGAGGGGCGGCTGCACGGGCTACTCGCGTCCAAGGGCGCCTTTGAGCAGCAGAGGGCGCAGCTGGAGGCCGAGCTGGGAGAGTTCCGGAAGGGCCTGCGGCGGCTGGCGGAGGAGGGCCTGCAGCCCGCGGCGAAGGCGGGCACCGAGGACGAGCTGGTGGCCCGCTGGAGACTCTACTCGGTAAGCCACGCGGTCCAGGCGGCTTGGGGTGTCGCCCCTTGGAGCTCACCCTCGCGGGGGGAGGATCGCGGTGAGCCCTAAATACAACTCCGCTTCTCCTGGATCTTGGGGTGTTACCCCAAGCTGGGTGTTTGCACCCATTTGCCGGGAGAGGAGACTGAGGCCTGGAGGGATATTTTTGTCCCCACCATCCTAGGATCCCCTGATGAGTCCGCGGGGAACTAGGACCAGAGGCGCGTGGTCTCTGGGTCCGCACATCCCTGCCTAGAGGTGGATGTGGGTGGGCCGCCTGAGCACGGAGCAGAGTGTCAGATCGGAGGGAAAGCTCCGAGTGAGAGATGGTGACCAGCCCACAGGGGGTCTGGGAGACGAGCAGACATGCCCACCCTGGGGAGGGTGGGGGTGGGTTCCAACTTAGACGTGATGTCCAATCAGAGCCCCCACTCCCCCCTTGCACAGGAGGCCTGACCTGTGGACAGAGAGATTTTTAAAATAAAGGTAAACACCTCCCGATTCCTGTCGGTAATATTGACTCAGCGGGTTCGCTCAGCGTCAGTTCCATTTGGGGAACTATCTGAAAGCAACTCGCCCGCCCAGGCCCCGTCCACTCCCCACTGTCCGGTGTTCTCTCCCCCTAATGCTCGCCCGTAGGCGGAACTCTGCTCCTGGGGGTCGGCACGAGGCACACGTCCTCGAGGGCCCACTCCCTCTCATCTAAGTCCCGTGCCACTGCGATGGCCAACTGCGTGCACAGGGAGTTGTCTCCCGTTAGCACTGGCCGCCTGGCCCCAGGTGGAGGGGTGGTCAGTGGTTAGGGGCGAGGGCCTTGGGATCACACTGCTGGGTTCAAGCCCTGGTTCCTCTCCTTGCCAACGAGATGCCTTCGGGAGAATGACTTTCATCTCAACGGCGGAACTGGGGTACTGGTAACAGCCCTCCCCCACGGCTCCTTACGCACTCCGGAAAACAAGAAGTGCTTAGAGCCTGGCCGGTGTTGCTCAGTGGATAGAGCACCGGCCTGGGGAATGAAGGGTCCTGGGTTCAATTCCGGTTAAGGGCACGTACCTCGGTTGCAGGCTCCTCCCCGCCCGGGCCCTGGTCAGGGCTCATGCAGGAGGCAACCAATCAATGTGTTTCTCTCACATCAATGCTTCTCTCTGTCTTTCCCTCTCTCTTCCACTCTCCCTTGAAAAAAAAATCAATGGAAAAATATCCTCGGGTGAGGATTAACAAAAAAATAAAACTCTTAGACGAGGTCCTTGCATATGAAATGGGGACACAGCGACTTGCCCTCCAGAATCCGTGAGAGGCTCAAGTGAATGAGGCGCCCAGAGCACGCAGCACGGCGTCGGTGTTCCGAGGGACTGGCACCTGTGCTGTTAGCTGCTGGCGTTTGTGACAACGCTGGGGGCGGTGATATCATGAGAAAGACCAGCCTGGCGAGAGGCGCGGTGGGGAGGTGGGGGAGCAGTTTCCCCCAGGCCCACTCCCACCAGCCATGCTCACCGCCCTGAGCACACACCCTGTCCTGTCCCGTCCCG